ATTCTGACTACTTAAACACTTCTTCGTAATAGGAATGAACTACAGTAAATAATTTTTTATCACATAAACATAAAACAAAACGAATTTCACGTAATTTGGCCAAAAATAAATAAATCTCTTGACAATATTTGAACAAAAAATCATAACATGTTCCTCGCTCACGTATACCCATAGGGTTTCATGTCAAATCTTCAATATTTTAATTTTCCCTGCAATCACATTGAAATAACCGCAGGGACGAGAACCGTTTGGTTTCAAGAGTAATATTTCATCAATTTATTTTTGATCAAACTTTTTGACATCTGGGGTAAAGTAAATTCTAATTAATAATATCATTGACTGATATTACTAGAAGATACTGAAGTAGAAATCTCAATTTTATATATTATCTGTCGCCAATTCTTTATTAAAAAAGAACATATTTGTGTGAGTCAGTCATAGAATGTGCTAGTGTCAAAAATTATATTTTGGAACTTATCTTTTGATGCTGACCACGTTGGTGGGTAGTAAGAGTTACTATAGCTCAGCGCAGGTGATGCTATTCGTTTTGATTGGTAAAAAACTATGGTTGTGTTTGGACAGAATTTAGTAATTTAGATCAGCACAATCTGTCGGCTAGCTCACATTAACTACGACGATTTTGGTTAAAATCTGGTGACAAATTTAACATGCGGATGTAATGTCTAGTAATATTTCGCCTAATTCATATAAGTGTGTTATCGTTTTTCATACTATTTTGTTATTCATTGCTGTTTATTAAAAATATTTCCTAATAAATGAATATAATCATAACACTAGACTATTTCTTGTGTGTGGCAGCCTAAAGAAAAAAAAATACCAACTAATAAATTAAAACACATTTTTGATCATTGTTGAACATTAGGTAAGGAGGAAACAAAAAAATATCACTATCACGCATTAATCCATATAAAACTATGTGTTCTTCCTATTAATTGTTACCCAACCAGAACACAAATGTTAGGAAGACAGAACACACGAGTAACCTACAATTGTCTTCTTGTCAACATGATTTACTGAATTTCCTCCGTTCCTTTATTGATCCGTCTCAAGTAATCATAACACAACCGAAATCCAAATGAACGCGTCTAGGTTTGGTGACAAGATTTATTGTGTTTTAGCTCATAATGCTGAAGGATACGCCTAACTATTTTAATTTTTGCCAATGTACTTTTCCTAGATTTTAAGCATCTATGAAAATAGAGGCAAATACAAGCATTAAGGGATCAAAATCATTGTGGTTCATGATTTCTTTTGTGTCATTACGTTTTAATTATAGTTCACTACATGAGTAATAAAGTAATTTAATTAAAAGTATGGTTTGAATTTTGATATAGACCATCACGAATACTGCGTTTGAACGATTATTGTGTATTTAATGTTGAAAGTTTTTATTTTTTATTTAAATATTCTCTATTAGATACTCTATTATTTGTTAAACAAATAATGGCTTTAATGTTGTTGGTATTGGAGTAACTGTTTTTAAGGAGTTAGTAAAAGGTATATTACCGAAAGTCTACTGTTAAGTCGAAACAGTGTCGTTTATTAAGTAATGAGTTTAAATAAACTTAAGAAAATAGGTTTCAGTGCGACACCTGACTTATAAAATACTATGTAAATACTAAATAAATAATACTAAATAAATAATATTTAATAAATATTATTTCTTAAAACTCAAACATGGGGCTATCTAAATTAATTATTGTAGTAGAAGTCATTATAGTTTCATATATGAACAGTCATAATTATTAGTAACGGAAGAGTTATTATGTTTTGCGGGGTGGCTGCACTGTGCACTGAGCCCTGAAGTGGGATGATTCGTCACGGCTCCGTCTTCTATGTCCAACAGCGATCGTAAGTGGTTCTTTTATAATTACTGTCCACTTTTCTAGCGTAACGTTAGGTTACGACATTTTGGCGCAGTCGGTAATAAACCTTTTTATCATAGTTAGGGTAGTACGCGATAACAGTTGTTGTTTTAGTGCGTATTATAGTTGAGATGATTAAAAATGGCGAGTATTAGCGTTGGCAGGATTTCTGAATTTAATCCAAGTGAGGAGGACATTGTGCCCTATTTGTTGCGCCTGAAACATTTTTTCAAAGCGAACAATGTCAAGAAGGAGAACGAGGTGTCGGTTTTAATTACAGTTATTGGTCCCAGGGTTTTATCGGTCCTATCCGATTTATTATCACCGGTAGAGGTAGATTCTAAGACCTATGATGAACTTGCAGCGTTGTTGAAATTACATTATGCGCCCAAGAAGTTGGTTGTGGCGGAGCGATATGTATTCTACTCTCGTGTGCAAAAGCCGGGCGAAAGCATAGCGGAGTTTGTGGTTTCAATAAAACATTTGGCTAGTTCGTGCAAATTTGGTACCTTTTTGAAAGACGCCTTGAGGGACAAAGTGATTTCCGGCATTTCTAATGAAACTATCCGGCAGAAATTGTTGTCGGAGGAATTGGACTTTGACGAAGCTTATGCGTCAGCGCTCAGGCTGGAACAGGCCGAATCGCAGTCAAGCCTATTTGTGCAACCTCGTGGGGACATTGCGAAAATCAATGTGAAAAGTCAAAATAGGCCTAAAACTTTCGTGAATAGGAGTAGTGAAAATCAAAATTCTAGAAACTCTTGTTGGAGGTGTGGTTCTGCGGGTCATTGGCCTAGTGCGTGTGCGTTCGCCAGTTACAAGTGTCACGGTTGTCAGAGAGTAGGTCATCTCAAGAAAGTGTGTAAAGCCAAGAAATCTTCTAGTTTCCATGGTAAAAAGTCGACACCTAGGATGGGGGTCCATCAAGTGGAGGAAGAGGTAGGCCTAGGCCTAGAAGTTCCGATGGCAGAGATAGGTCTGTACAATCTTAAATCAGGATCAGACAACGGCTATAAGGTAGGCCTAGTGGCTAATGATGTATATTTAGAAATGATTCTAGATACAGGCAGTGCCTTGACTATATGTCCTTCTGAGATATTTTATGAAAAATTTTCTAACCTCAAACTTAGGCCAGCAAATGTGAAACTTACTACTTAATCAGGTCATGATGTACCTGTTCTGGGACAAGTGAATGTCAATGTTAAATATAATAATCAGCAGGCGAGTTTGCCTTTGACAGTAGTTAGTTTAGAAAGTAAGAGTCAACCGATTCTGTTGGGGCGAAACTGGTTAGGCCAGTTGAGGTTAGATTGGCAAAATGTGTTTTCATGTAAAGCCACTGTGGATCACAGTTCTGATTTGGACATTGCTAAATTGAAGAGTAAATTTAAGTCAGTTTTTCAGCCTGGAACGGGCGAAATTAAGGGTGTTAAGGCTCATATTGTCTTAAAGGAGGGGACAGTCCCTAAGTTTTGTAAGGCGAGACCAGTGCCTTTTGCGTTAAGGGAGAAAGTTGAGAGTGAGTTGGACCGCATGGTTCAAGAGGATGTTGCGTACAGAGTTACTAATTCACAGTGGAGCACTCCACTTGTGGTTGTCCCTAAGCCTAATGGTGTTAGGCTTTGTGCCGATTATAAGATTACTCTTAATCAGTGTATTGAAATGGAACATTATCCGCTTCCACAGGCTCAAGATATTTTTGCAACTCTAGGCGGTTGCTCAGTTTTTAGCTGCCTTGATCTTTCAAATGCGTATCAGCAATTGGCGGTAGCGGATGAATCGCAACATCTGTTGACCCTAGCTACCCATAAGGGTCTGTATCGTTTAAAAAGGCTGCCATATGGTTTGTCTTCAGCTCCTGCAATTTTTCAGTCAGCCATCGACCAAATTTTAACAGGTCTTAAAGGAACGGTGGCGTACTTAGATGACGTCTTAGTGGCGGCTCGCTCTAAGGAAGAGGGGCTTGCCCGTCTGGCGCAGGTGCTGCAACGCCTTGATGAGTTTGGTGTTCGAGTAAACCAACAAAAGTGTAAGTTTTTGCAATCTTCAATCGAGTATTTAGGACATGTGATTACTCGAGATGGTCTCCGTCCACAAGAAAGTTTGTTAACTGCGCTGCGTAAAGCGCCTGAGCCTAGTACTAAGGAAGAGTTACGAGCCTATATTGGTCTAATAAATTATTATCATGCATTTATACCTAACCTGTCTGCTAGAATAAGCTGTTTTTATGACTTATTACATAAGGATCATCCATGGGTGTGGTCGGAGGTGTGTTCTAAGACTTTTCAGGAGAGTAAATCATGGGTGTTGGACTCAAGTTTGTTAGTTCACTATGATGTTAAAAAGCCCATAGTTCTGACGTGTGATGCGAGTCCCAGAGGGGTGGCTGCTGTTCTATCTCATCTTATCGATGGTCAGGAAAGGCCAATTGCCTTCGCATCGAAAACGCTAAGTTCCAGTGAACGGAATTATTCTCAGTTACATCGGGAGGCTCTGGCTTTGATCTTTGGAGTCAAAAAGTTTCATAAGTATATATATGGAAGACACTGTATTCTACAGACTGATCATCAGCCGTTGACGGCTATTTTTGGCTCTAAAAAGGGCGTTCCTAGTATGGCGGCAGCTAGGCTGCAGAGATGGGCCTTGATTCTATCAGCATATGATTTGGAGGTTAGGTACCGGAAGGGAGTGGATGTCCCTCACGCTGATGCGTTGTCTAGGTTACCCTTAGCAGAAGCGGAACCTATAGAGCTGGATGCTAATTTTGTTTCACATGTAGATGTGTGTACAGAAGTGATGAACAATTTCTGTGTTGTCAAGGACATTGCACCTATTACTGCCTTGCATATAGGTAAAATGACGGATAAGGATCCGATTCTTTCGAAGGTCCGAGATTTTGTGATGTACGGCTGGACGAGCTCTGTTGAGCCGGAACTAGCTATTTTTCTAAGGAAGAAGGACGAGTTGTCCGTGGAACAAGGTTGTTTGCTGTGGGGTTCTCGTGTAGTGATTCCAAAGAAACTGTATTCATCTGTGCTTCAAATGTTGCATGATCAACACCCGGGAGTTACGCGCATGAAGATGCTGGCGAGAAGTTATGTCTAGTGGCCAGGCATGGAAAAGTCGATTGAGGACGTAGTGGCTTCTTGTTCTGCTTGTCAGTTAACTAGGAATTCGGTACCTAAAGTACCGTTGCAGCAATGGCCTACAACATCAACTCGATGGCAGAGGATACACATTGACTTTGCGGAGGATCCAGAGTCGAGACAGCAACTTTTAGTTTTGATTGACACATACTCTAAATGGTTAGAGGTATTTATCATGAGTTCCATGAATTCTTCCAAGGTTATTGAGAAACTCCGTACCTTGTTTTCATCGTATGGATTGCCTGTCGAACTGGTGTCGGACAACGGAAGATCTTTTACTAGTCAAGAGTTCAAAACCTTTTTGCATAACAACAATGTGAAGTTCACATTAACTCCCCCGTATCATGCGGCTTCAAATGGATCTGCAGAGAGAAGTGTTCAGGAGGTCAAGAAAAACCTTTTGCGTCAAGTGATTGAGGAACATCAGCGTTCTCAGCGTACCACTCTTCAAATGAAATTAGATAATTTCTTGTTTGCGTACCGCAACACTCCAAATACAGTTACTGGCTTAACCCCTGCAGAAATGTTCCTGTCTTGGAAGCCTCGTACTCAGTTGGTTATGTTAAAACCCAATCTCCAGTCATCCATTGATCAAAAACACAGGGAACAAAAAGATGCAGCTGATAGGTTTAGGGGAAGAAGCAGATTTTTCTCAGAAGGTCAGGCAGTCTATGTCAAAACTGTCCGAAATGAAAAGATATCTTGGGTTCCTGGCAAAATAATTCTAAAGAGAAGTCCGGTCACCTATCTGGTGAGTGTTATTGGTGGAAAACCCCGATTTTGTCATGCGGATCACTTGAGAGCTCGGTATGCAGAAGAGGAGGAGATTTTTGTATCACCCAAGGATCCCGTTGTATCACCCCAAGTACCCAAGAATTCACCCCCGCCGGAGGATCGACCAACTTAGTCCCATGATGATGTCACCTGTACCTAGGCCTACTACCAGTCCCAGGGAGAGCCTAGGGCAAGCCCAGCCTCAGCCAACTCCTGCGTCGCCGCTAGCACAGTGCAGCCCACCACCCTCGCTGAGGAAGTCTGCACGGACTATGCGAAAGCCTCACAGGCTGGACTTGTAAAATTATTAATGAATAATGGGAAGAAGAAATTTTGGTTGCATTTTATTGAAAGTGAATTTATTTTATTTTGAAAGTTGAGTTAATTTTGAATTTATGATATTGACTTTTTTTATGGGGAAGACGAGTGTAGTAGAAGTCATTATAGTTTCATATATGAACAGTCATAATTATTAGTAACGGAAGAGTTATTATGTTTTGCGGGGTGGCTGCACTGTGCACTGAGCCCTGAAGTGGGATGATTCGTCACGGCTCCTTCTTCTATGTCCAACAGCGATCGTAAGTGGTTCTTTTATCATTACTGTCCACTTTTCTAGCGTAACGTTAGGTTACGACAATTATAATTAAGAAATATTTCTTCAACAGTTTTCGTCGTTGATTTAATAAAACAATATTTCTTTTCTTAGCAGGAAACTGTTACAAATTTAACGAATAAAGCGATGGTAGACTGATAAATCCATATTAAATATCCGCTGAAAATCCACAGAAAATATGTCGCACACGAGGTAAAGGCTGAGTCACCGATGTCCAACCCAGTCTAGGCTGTAAGCTTTTTCCGATATTATGGACCTTGTGTGTAGTCCAGATAAGACACCTTGAGTGTCAAAGTAACTTTTTAGCGATGTTTAACTAAACCGACTCATAAACAATAATTATATTCCTAATAATGACGCGTGTGTTATTTAAACTAACTCTTTTGTCTGTAAAATATTAACTAAAGGTAGGTCACTGGATTAGACCTTAGATGAATAATATGTAAACTAGATTTATTTATTTATTTATTTATTGCTCTTTACAATTTTTACATTGTGTAGCATTTTTACATTGTGTGATTCTATTATTTATAATTACATAGGGGTTATTTTATAAAATTACACTTTATATTAAATTTAACTTTGAACAAATTAATCAATACATTACTTGATTAATTTATCAATACATTATTTAGATGCTTTTTATACCTACTGGGTTTAACAGAAGTACTAAATAACAGTCTCATCTTTGTGCATAAAAAAGTTCACTCCAATTCAAAAAAGCTTAACGAAGATTAATAAAAAATACTAGTTTTAGTGAGTTAATTGGATATCAAAAATAACAATTATATAAAATGCAAATACAATATATTCAATTGCATGGACTATTCACAAATCTCTATTATCTCAGGATGAATTTTATAAAATGTAATTTTAATTTTGACTAAGCTACATTATAGTTTTTAAACAATATTTAAATGCAATAAATATGTAGCTACTTTGGTACTATACCAACCGCACCCCATAACTATAACCTAACCTAATGACTATAAGGGTGGACTATATTTTAGGTTAGGTTATGAAGATTTTGTTATTTAAACCAATTAAAATCTTATGTAGAAGTTGATTTATAGGTGGAGTCGGTATGTACCAACATATATTAGAGATAACCACAAAAATCAAAGTTAATAATCGTTTCAATTCTCATGTACAAAAAATGCGATATTGCTAGTTCCTGTGTATAATTAAAAATAATATAGATTATAAATGATTTTTAATAGTTTCAATTAATCAATTATCAATTAAAATAGCAGAGTAAGTTAGTTACATCTTACTTCACAGATCCCAATTAAAGTTAACCTCACTTTAGTTAACTTGGTTAGCTTTGTCTCGCTCAGCTAACAAAACGTAGATTATAACTAGTCTTCACTAGTTACATGAAATGTCTTGAATGTTGTTGTATGGTTGTGCAAACATTGTCGGAAACTTGTGGCATGATTTTATGTTGCAACCCTAGCTAAAACTATATTTATAATACCTTATGTTATAGCCTTTTAACATTTTGCCTACCTGCCATCGTATTCCTCTGTAAAAGGTCCCTTGTGATACCTGGTAGTGTATGTGAATAATGTAAATACATAATTGTACATTGAATGATATTATAAAATCGCGTAGTTATTTATTATTTCACACAAATATCTATACTGAATACCATTTTGAAATCAACCAACTAAGTTTCAAAAGCTCTTTATCGAGTTAAAGACGTCGCAATAATCAAGGGTTTTGTTCCTTCTCATTTAAAGTTTGACAAACAAACGTGTTGTAGTGTTGATTTTGAATTTCAACCGAGCTTTTAAATACTTTGTTTGTAAAGTCTTCTGCCAAACGACTACTAGACTTTGTCAACTATTCTTGTTTTATCAATTTTGTTTGCTAACTAAAACAACTATGAACTTTCATTAATTGTTGTTTTTACTACACTTTTCAAAACACTTGTACTACACTTGTAGTTTCATAAAAAAGTAAATATGGGTTTCATTTAAGGTGATTTAAGATAAAAGCACCTAATAAGCTAAAATTATGTAATGTATACAGTTTTCATATATTTAAAACTATATAAATGGCATAAATTCGGCCATCTTTCTTCAACCATTTGTAAAAATTAAGTATTATAAAGTTTCCTTTCTGACAGTATAATAAGAAATTACCTGTCACATTTTAATTAAAAATATATGATAAATGTTTTTATGTCTTATTTTTTTAATACACATATAAACAGAAAAAGATAAATTTTGATCGGAAACATGTTTCCGAATAAGGAGAAAGAAAAATGCATTGGTAAGTAAATTAGTCAGCTGTTTTAGTAAAGACAACTTTAAGAAGATTATGTATCAAATCGCCTCATAAAAATTGCTTCAGACGTTGCAGTAAACAGTTCGTAAAACGGGATCAGTACCAAAAAGGTAAACTTCTGGGAGACCACCTGCATCAGTGGTAACAATTAAAAACGTAAGAAAGTTTGGTTTAGAAGACCAGATCTAACTCCATGTAATTTTTTCTTATATACGTCATAGACATAGTTTACTCTAAGAAAATGCGTAATCTTTCTCATTAAAAGAAAGGATATTATGAAAAACTGTCGTCGGTAACAAGATCTATGTTGTACAGCTTATAGTCCTATACGTTTTACGTTTACCCTATACGTTATTCAAAATACTGATCCATACAGTACAGTTTATTGAACATGTTCTTGCTATGCGTATTGAACAAATTATTACTTTAGGATATTATATATTATAATATGTTGGTGTAACTCCGCTGGTTTCCGCTGCGTGCATGACGCAAGTTTAAAAATGCTAGCGTGACCTGCTGCAATCAAAGTTAATCCTATATCTCTAGCCTGACTCAGAATACGCTAAAACTTACCCAACCATTATACTCTTGTATTATCTGATTTCAAAGCTAATCCTATAGATGTTTAGGTAGGTATCAGCAATCTGACACCTAGTTTCTCCTTAGCTAGTCAACAAACCCTATAATTGGTAAGCGGAAAATCACAAAAACCACAGTAGCTTTCAAACCGTAAATTTTACAGCTTTTAGTAGTGTACTATACTCTTTGGATATTAACTAAGATCTTTGAGTCGTCGTTGTAAAAATTAAATTTTACGTTTTTATGGGTTTTTATTAGAAAATCGCTATTAAAAACTAAAATTTTAAAAATAAGAAAACTACTGTAGATAATGTAAATCAGTATCCATTCCTACCAAACACTATACCACTCAGCTTTTAATTAGTTAGTTATATTTATTACCTAACATTCAATCCACCAAATAATACTAAGATAAAAAAAAACAATTGTATGATATTTTATTTTTATTTTTCGCCTTTATAAAACATCTATAGGCAAGCAGAATACCTTAAAATAAGCTAAAAATAAGCACAAAAAACTGTTTTAAATAAAAAAATAACTTGGGGACCTTATGGGTTACCATGCTGGTGACATAATAACAACGAAATATAAACGGAAAATCAAAACAAATGGAAGAAATTCGAACCACATGTTTTATTTACAGCGTTGGGTGAAATAAAGAAGCCTGTACACATTTTTGGTCGAGTTTTTGACCACTGGACGACCACTAGTTTTTATTAATTGTTGAAATCTTAGATATGTATAGGGTAGTGTGCGAAGGTTGTGCAGTCAATTTTACTACAAATGTGTGGGTAGCCAACATTTTATAGGCAATTCATTAATTAACCCCTTGAGTTTTCAAATGCTTGACATTTTCTATTGTTTTCAGGTGAGCATCTGTACACTTGATGGCTTTAAACATGGTGGAAGGGTAAGCAAGTTATATCTATGACGATTATTTTAACGTATTTATCGTAATTTCCTTAGTTCTGTATATGTTAGAACTAATTTGTAACAATACACGTATCCCGTAACGCAATACTTAACTTCAATAGAATTGGTTTATTATAACCCTATTCTAATCATACAGCCCAAAATTGATATTGAAACTTAAAGCATAAATAGTAGGCAGCTACAATTCACTTTACAAAAGCCGAATTGGGAACTTGTATTTTGAAAGTTGCAATGTTTCAGGTAAATAAAAATAACAATTTATTTTAGTAAAATGTATTTATAATCCTAAACCAATAAAGAAGCAAAACTTGATGTAAAATAAGTGGTAAATCACGTAAAATATTTTCCTATAACATTCAACTTATCTTTTAATACATATTCATAAGGGGTTGTTGGAATTTCAATATTGTCTTGTTTGTGTCAAAGATCTTCCATTACAGAATGTTAGCAGAACATTCACATGCCTTGCACTACTTGCCAAGACACATTTCTTAAGTTTTCTTTTATTTCTTGGAATCGCTCAGACATTTAGAGTGGTGAGGTTTGGCCAGTTTCCAGTTTTGGTTTTAAACACACAACAGTTAATAAGGTTAGAGAACAACATTTCTGCTTTTTATATTAGATAATATTTGTATGTTCTGGTTTACTCATTGGTTGTCAGTAGACCTACCATGTTGAGGGTTTAATTATAACTGCAAGGGAGGTACTAAAACACG